CGATTAATTGTTTAAGTCTGGGGAACCCTGGGAGCTCTAGAATGGAAAGTGGATTTTAAGATACAGAATTAGCGCTGTTTTATGGCCTTAATTGCCGTTACGGGCAGTTGAGCTCCATCATGAATTGCATCGACTCGCCACGTGTTTGCAGCGGGTTTCTGGGAACGTTTCGTCATTCCTACCTGGAATGCCGAGCCGCATGTGACCCGGACGAGGACCAGGCCAACTGGGTTTTGCTTCTGCAGGTTCCGGGTGTGTGTGTGTGTGGGAGGGGGACCCTCGGCCTCACCTCAGAGCCTGGAGGCTGGTGAGTTCTGGCTCTGTGCAGGAGGCCCACAGGGCTGGATCTGGGGGTGGACAGGCCTTGGGCCGGGTGCTGTGGGAGCCACAGCGGCCACCAGCCAGCGGGGGTGGCGAGAACGTAAGGACCCAGACTGTAGCCCCTGGCTGCTGGTCGGTGATTAAATCTGAGGTGCAGATTTTCCAGGCCACCTGAGTGGCGGGATGGGGTCCAGTACCCCACGGTGGGCTGTGACTGCGTGGGCTAGTGGGCGGGAGACCTTTCCCACCGCAAGCAGTCCTCCTAGTGTCCTCTGTGGCCGGGAGGACAGGATAGGTGGGCAGAAGCAGGGGTCTGGGGTGATTCCAGGCCACTCCGAGGCGGGCTCTGGGCATCCGCGGGACCATCGGGGAGCTCAGAAGGTGCTCCCCGCACTCCTCCCTGGTGTATTGTCTGGGTTGTGTGCTCCTTGACAGATGTCCCCTCATCACCTCCAGGTGGCTTTCTTCCCAGCCACCGTCTGCCTTACTGCTCGAAGGCCATCGTCACGACCTGAGTGGCTCTTTGCCCTGGTCTTACTGCTTTGGCTTTTCTGTACGACCTTTATCTTGGGGGGAAGGGGCCGTCGGCTTCCGTGTTGTTTCTTGTTTCTCTGGCAAAGAAGCACACCCAGCAGGTGTTTCATAGATGATTGAACCGGTTCTGCCTCTGGCCCGCTTCCCGGCCTGCCCCTCCAAGACCCCTTTCTAGTTCCGTGACACCCGCAGGCCTTGAAGTCCCGGGGTCCCACCCTCGCTGCGGAGTCAGGCCCAGGCTGGTTCTGGCACGGTGACCAGAGGACATGCCTTTACTGAGCCCCCGTGTCGTCTGCTTGTGGTGGTGATGAGCGTGGCGCTCAGGCTGCTTCTGTTGGCTTCTGCAAGGGCCATAGCCAGCTGCAAGGTGCACTTGGAGATGAAGGTGCCCTAGGAGATCGGGGGGTCTTTTCCCAGCCATGCTCCGTCTTGATGGCTCCGGAACTGTGTTCTCTTGACCCAGTTAGGTTGGGTAGGTCAGGTGGCTCCTCACTGTCGCCTGTAAGAGGTGTCTGAGTTTGTTGAAGGCTTGTCTTTTGAGGTATTAAAGTGTTCATATGTTTTGACCCAGTAACCCTATTTCTGGGATTTATTCTGAGGATACAGTTCAAGATGCAGAAATAATTATGGTCCCTTACATGATGTTTATCAGTATAATAGTGGAGAGAGGCCTCCACAGGTGTCCACAGGGGAGAGCGCCTGAGTGGGAGTGCTGCCCCAAGGGCCGAGCGGGAGGTCCGGGGAAGCTGGCCCAAGGCCAGCCGGTGCTGGGTTCCCTGTCCCTGTCAGGCCCGGGGCGGGGGCGGGGGGGACACGTTCTTCGTTTAACGTAAAGATGTCAAGGACTGGAAGGAAGTGCAACAAACCTGACTCCCATTGTGTATGTTTCGATCCCTTGGCTAAGCCACGTCCAGAACCAGCGTGTTTTGTACCACAGGCTAACGTGTGACAGTGGGACGCGGATGACGAGGTGGGCAGAGTGGGCGGCTGGCCCAGCTGTGGCGGGGCAGGGCCTCTGCCCCCCCGGGAGCAGGGGCCCTGCTCTGCGCTCCTGCACACATTTCCTGACATATTTGCTCTTTTTTTTTTTTTTTAAAGATTTTATTTATTTGTCAGAGAGCGAGAGAGAGCGCACGCGCACGCACACTAACACACAAGCAGGCAGAGTGGTAGGCAGAGGTGGAGAGAGAGACAGGTTCCCTGCCAGGCAAGGAGCCCGATGCGGGACTCGATCCCAGGACTCTGGCATCATGACCCGAGCCGAAGGCAGCGGCTTAACCGACTGAGCCACCCGAGGTGCCCCTTGTTCCTTTTTTTTTTTTTTTTTTTTTAAGATTTTGAAAATTTATTTGAGAGAGAGAGTGAGCAAACACAGTGGGAGCTGAGCAGGGAGCCTGGTGCAGCCCTTAGTCCCGGGACCCTGAGATCATGACTGGAGCCGAAGGCAGACGCTTCACCAACTGAGCCACCCAGGCGCCCGTCATATTTTCTCTTTAAATAAAACAGTAATTTAGAAACAAACAAAATCTCTTTTCTGCTCCCAGGAGCGTTCAGAGGAGGTTCGTGGGGTCCTGAGATTTGGGGATAGGTGACGGTGCACGTCAAACGCCCGTGGTAAGTTGGCAACAGCTCAGGGAGAGATTTTTCTCCGATGCGGCTCTTCCCCCTGCAGCCGTTACAAATGGCAGAGCGGAGGCATAGGTTAACTTTTCTTAATTGCTGTCCTCAGGCACTCCAGGAAGACAGGCCTTCTGCCCCGTCCGCGGAGGTCCCTGGTGGACCTGCTTCTTGTGGGGTCCCCTCCCTGCCTCTGCGGTCACCTCTCGCTGCCTCTGGTGGGAGCCTGGTTGCCGAGCTCGCAGGTGCCGGGTTTTGGAAGGAGCGAGCAGGCCCCTGTGCGTGGGGCTCGCCTGCTCATCAGTGAGGTCCATGGCTGGCGGTTCCAGGAAGGCTGGGCTGCCTGCCTTGTGCTCTGCCCGGTGCATGTCCTATGCCTGCATTGCTGCCCAGGACAGCAGGAGGTGTAGATAAGCCTGAGAAGCATGACAGGAGACCTCCTCGGGGTGCCTCAGGCTGGGGCCTTGAGGGTGAGCCCGTGAACCTCCTACACCTGGCTCTTATCCTCCGGACTGGCCGCAACCTTTGCGTGTTTACCTGAGCAATGCCGTTGGCCCTGGTCGGGGAGAGTTCCTGAGAGATGACCCGTCCTGCTGCCAGTCACTAGCCTGCAATGGCTTCTAAACGTGGGGAGCTGTAAGTTTTATTTCATTGGGGCTGTTTACTTAAATCTCAAACTATATCCGAGTCATGCAGAAGCACACTGTAGCGCGTTCGTAAATTAGGAGGCAGGATACACCCACTGCCCACCCCGCCAAGAGCTCGCCTCTACCCGCCGGGCCTCTTCCCTCCCCCAGGGAGCCCCAGCCCTGCACTTCGATGCGAAGGAGAACCGTCTTCCCACTTGTCACCGCTTCTCCCTCCGCTCCTGGCGAGGCCCACCTAGCTGTGTGATGTCTCCGGTGATGCTGCTGGCCGTGGGTGCCGTGGGTGCCGTGAGGCCGTAGCCGAGAGGGCACAGGCTTCTGGAAGCCCAGGAAGGGATTTTACGAAGAAAACAGCTGTGAGTGTGCTCTGGGAGCTCAGTCCGGGTCCAGATGGGTCCAGGTGTGAACCGACAGCAAGCAGGAGGTGGGGTTGGACCGTGGTGGGGGCACTTGCACTCATTGCCCCGGGGCACCTTGTGCACGGTCCTGAGCGCTGTTGGCCTGGCCCCTCGGCCCCCTGGCCCACCGCCACCTGGAGCCGCCCGGGGCTGCACGCAGGGAGCTGAGGCAGGCGGCGCAGCCTGCGTTCCTGGCGTCGGGTGAGAAATCAGTTCCCCTTTAGCATCTTGACAGCAGCTTGTGAGGAGCCTGGGGTGGCGCTCGCCTCTGGAAGGGCGGGCAGCAGAGGAGTCTTTGCACGCACGTCCCACATCCGAGAATATTTGGTTTCAAGTGAATCACACAGCGGGTGTGCAGGCAAGGACTTGCCTGCGAGGTTCCTGGTCATAGACGCTGCTGCCCGCGAGCAGAGCACTGAGCTCAGAACTGGGACGTATTTCCTTGGCGCCTTTATTGCCAAAACATCTAGTTCTGTGAGTACCTTTTTGGCATTTACTCTACAAGTGTCATAAATCCATCTGGGCCTCCGCTGGAGGCCACAGGGTGGGCCGGGGCTGCGGCTTCCTCGTCCCTCCGGGGGGCGTGGGTCTGGAGGGAGCTTGCCTTAGTTTTGGCAAATGCCCAGGTTCCTTATTCTATGGGCACCTTCCCATCTCTTGTCCTTGGAGACCGTGGGACAGAAGTTACCCCGGGGGCTGGACGTCTTCTGTCGCGCTCTGTGGGGACCCGTGTGTCTCCCTCTTCCTGGATCCCCTGCAGCTGGCGCTTCTGTTTTGTCTCTTGGCCTCTGCACGGGGTGGGCGGCAACACACTGAGACCTGCCACTGATCACCTCAGGGGCTGTGATCGGGGCATCCCCTTCCCAGGCTGTCCCTGCAGGGCCCTGGGGAGGGTGACCGGAGATGCTCCACGGCCACCGTATGATTCTGTGCTGCATCAGGGGCTGCTCTTCCCCTGTGGGGTGGGGAGGGTGGGGAGGTTGTCTGGCAGCCACTTGTCACGAGTTGGGATGAAGGCTTGAGGCTCCCAGCAGCATCAGGCAGTTACTGCCTTGCCCGACTTGGGAGTTGGTGCCCCTTGAGGGTGGCCTCTGGCCACGCAGTTTTGGCTGCCTATCCCCTCCCTCCACCTCTTGAGGGTGTTGTCCTGGCTGCGGGGCCTCAGGTGCCCAGAGGCGTGGCTTCGCATGGCTTGGGTGGCTCCCAGGAGGCCCTGCTGGGCAGGAATGCAGTGGCCTGTCCGGACAGGCTGTTCTCCAGCTCTCTGTCTCCCTGGGCGGGTGGCCTCCCGACGGCTGTCTCCTGATGGCTGCCTGCCCCATGTCCCCGAGAAGCGGCCCCTCCCTGCCTCTCCTGGAGTTTGGTGTGTGGGGCCCGCAGGCACATTTCTGCCAGGGGGCCGGGCTGGGGCGGCCTTGCCCACTGCGGGCAGCTCCTCTCTCCGCACCGCCAGGGCCCCGCTAACGGCTTGCCTCTGGTTCAGTTTCCAGGCCGAGCGGCCCGCGCTGAATGTCGTCATCTTCCCTCTGCTCCACGAGGGCCTGACCAATGTCATCCGGGACGTCCCCATGGTGCACCTGGATGAGATCACCTTATTTAAAAGCAGAGTGGCCGAGGAGCCCCCGAACCTGTGGTGGTGACAGGGACAGCTGGTGCCAGGCGAAGCTGCTTCCGGCAGCCGAGCCTCCCGCCTGCCGCTGTCGCCTCTGCCAGTCTCCTGGGCCAGGAAGCAGGACTGCCCTGACGGGCGTGTGACCTGGCTACCGCTGCTCACCGCCTGCCTGTGCTGGACTCCGGGGCCCGCCGGGTCCCAAGAGGAAGGATGCCCCCTCTGCCCAGCCATCCCGCATACCTGTCGTCTCCCAGGGCCTCCCGAAGCTTCCTCTTGCTTTCTCTCGGCGCTCGGTGAAGCATGGGTCTCATCTGTGAGGAGGATGAGGAGGAAGAGCCGGCTGTCAGGGTGACCTGCGGGGCCCGGCGTGGGTGTTCCTGAACTGAGACTCACAGCCGTCACGCAGCGCTGACTCCTCAGGGTCCCTGACCGGGTCCCCAGAGCAGCACAGGCCGCCAGTGCCGTCCCCCGCCGCTACTTCACCCTCCACAGGGTGTCCTGTGTTTCTGGCCACCTGCATCAGGCTCTGAAGCGGTGGCCTTGTGGGGGTGACTGTGCGTGTGGGGGTGGATGCGCTCCTGCGGTGACACAAGGGTACAGCTGGTGATCGTGTGCCCAAGTGGCCCTTCCTTTGGGCCAACTGGGAGCACGACGCAGTGGGAAGCTTCAGATTTGGGGCTCTCCTTCCCAGAAAGACACATTTTAACCCAATTGTGTGTCCACCAGGTCTCCAGCCAGATGGAGTCAGACAAGTTCCGGGCCGCTGGCTGGGCAGGGTCCCCTGTGGGGCTGGGACCATGGGGCGAGGCCTGGGGCAGGCCTGTTGCCCAGCCAGCACAGCACTCAGCTTTAGGACCCGCTCTCCGTGAAGATCTGTGTTTCTGGGGAACTACATATCTGGCTTCATTCAAGACACTTGAAATATTAAAACTTAGAAAGGACATTTAAAGCCAGAGTAGTGATCCAACTACCCCATTTTCTAGAGCTTTATTTAGCACTTTAAAAATTTCAGTGCAGCTAATGCAAATTTGGGGAGTGACCTCCCAGTGTCCGAGGCCTCTTTCCCTGTGCTGAGCCCGCTGCCTTCTCTACCACACGACTCTGCCCAGCGCTGGTGGCTCCTCGGCCCGTGGCTTCCGAGGGGCTGCGATCGGGTTCCTTCCACCCCAGCTCCAGGCCTGATTGCTCTCGGTGATGCTCCTGGAGCCCTGCGGGGGACGCTGGGCACTGTTTGCGGCTTCCAGCCAGGGGCACGTCAGTGCTGCAGAGGCTGCCTCCCCGGGATCCCCAGCCTCCGTCTCCCTCTGGGTTGGGGTGCAGGGCTCAGTGGGCCCTGCTCACGCTGCTGGTGCCCTTCTTGGCTGCCATCTCTTCTGGGGCCCCCAGCCCGGCCATCTTCCCACTTTGTGTCTGTGGTGACTGTCCCCCTCCCCCCATTCCATGTAGCGTGTCCTGCAGCTTACCTACTAAAAGAACAAGTCTGTGGCCCTGGGGCTTTTCACTTGCCTTTCCTTCCCTGGGTTCTTGAGGGACGGATAGTTCAGCAGCCCCAACTCTGCGGGGCTGAGGGGGCCCAGGAAGCCAGACAGAGCTGCAGGAATCAAGCAGTCCCGGGGTCAGGGCCCTGGGAGGAGCAGTCTGTCTGGCCGTCACTGCCCATCCCGGGGGCTCTGCTCTGCCCTCCCGTCCCTCCTCTTGTCTGAATGGACGGGGGTCTATACAGGTGGCGTGGGGTGAGTCTCCCCGCTCCTCACCCTGGTTTTCATGCCTTCTCCCTGCCCCAGGCTGTGGCCGGCTCTTCTTTGCAGCCTGAACAGAGGGACCGGTCTGCACGTCGCCCGCAGGTGAATGCCTATGGGCTTCACCTTGGAGGTCCTGATGTGGTCTGAGAGCCCTGCCTGGCCTTGGAGGCTGACGGACGGGGTGCCCTGGGCCCCAAAGAGACGGGGCTGAGGTTCCTGTAGGGTCCCATGGCTGTAGATGAGGGTGTGAGAATTGGTGGGCGTACCTCCCCTCCCCAGTTTTGAGCTATTTCATGTGGTGCCCAGGGACCCCCCCCGCCCCCCAGGCAGGAAGGGCCTGGTATGGGGGCTGACCGCTTCTGACCCTCAGAGCAAGCGTGTGGCTGGTGGCAGCCTGACCGGCACGGCTGAGGTGCACAGGGCCCTAGGTGGCTCTGGGTGTCCTTCTCTCCTCCAGAGCAGCCCGGGCTCCGGCTGGAGAGTGAGCTTTCCCCCAGGCTGCGATGGTGTGTTCATGCACTCGCCTGGGCAGCCTGTTTGCACGAGCGAGCGGGCTTAACCAGCAGCATCACCGTTGCCGCCAAACAGGGCTGGGAGGGGCCGCTCACCGAGGCTGAGCCGGCGGGGTGGGGGGCGGTGTTGTGCAGAGCCGCCCCCGCCCAGCAGACCTTGTATTCTTAGCGTCCCCGTCCGGCTCCTAGAGCAAGAGCTGCCGCCACTCCTGGCCCGAGACGGGACTGCGCAGATGTTAACACTGCGCTGTTTGTCGCTGAGTGCTGTTTTGGCAGTGGTGTTAATTGCAATTTATATTCTGCAGCTTTTTATGCGGGGAAAAGAACCCACCCTAATGGTCCCCAGTTGGCAGAACTGGGCTGTTAAGTGCGGACCATATGCTGCCTGCCGAGAGGGGCCTGGTCAGCACTGCTGGCTGCGCGTGCGCGTACATCCACGTGCACACGCGTGTGAGTGTGGTCTGCTTCATGCACGTGCACGGTGTGCGTGCGCGTGCACGTTTCCACACATGATTGCATGTGTGCGTGTGCGTGCGCGTGTACGAGGGAGAGAGAAGAGCCCGGGGCAGGTGGGCAGGATGAGGAGGAAGGAGAGGAGAGATCAAGGTGTTTATCCCTTCGTGAAGATAGAAGCCACCTGCGCCCCCAAGGCCGCTCCTCCTGCCTGCGACCCCTCTGCCCTAGACCCCGTGGCTGGTCTTCCCCTGCCCTCCCCGGGTGGCCCGGGGTGTTGGCTGCCACACCTCCGTACAGCCTGGTCAGAGGGGCTGAAGGTGCTCCCCCGGGGACGCCCCTGGAGCCTGCAGAGACCAGAGGCCTGCGGCTTCCCTGTCTGTGGTTTTTCATTCTCACGGGCAAGTATGTTTACTTCCCAGCTCAAGGAGGCTGCCTTAAGGACATCTCACTCTGGCATATGCCCGGGAGGCCGATTCTATCCCTGCCTGTCAGCTGTCCTCTGAACCCCCGTGTCCTACACCAGGCTGGAGGGCGCGCTGCTCAGGCCCGCGGCTGGAGCCCAGGATGGGCTCTGGGATGACCCCCCCACACACACACACACACCTCGGGCAGCTCTGCAAGGCTGGGTCTTGGGGGTGAGCTTCCCTTAACTGCCCCTGTGCCAGGACCCACAGCTGCAGGCCACTTGGCTGAGAGGATGAAGCTTGGCGGAGGCCTGGCTGGGAGAGCTGGGCCGGGGGAGCAGGGCCGCAGGAGCCGAGGGACCCGGATGTCTGTTGGCCCTCGAGGGTCTGAAACCAGCTTGTGCCATCTTGGTTGTGCCAGCGGCCCTCCCCGAGTCTGTGCCAAGAAGGCAATGATCCTGTAGCCTGCCCCCCACCTTGTGAGAAGGGAACCCTGCTGGGGACCCACTTTCATGACCTTTCCGGAGGCACAGGGGCAGCGGGCAGCCTCCTGCTCCTCTGGCCCTCATTGTCTGCTTCTGGAGGCGTGAGAGTTGCTGAGTCCTCATGAGGAAGAGTAATAAGGAATGAGAAGCTCGTGGACGAGGATAATGCCATGTGGCTGATGATGGCAGATTCCAGCGGAGACCCCGGACTGCGGATGGAGACGTGGAAGGGGGCACTGGTGGACAGTTCCCTTGGCCCTGAGCCTCCTCCCCCACACTTCGACAGGAGGGGACAGGATTGTGCGGCAGGGGCTTGGGTGCCCTTGTGGTGTTCGTGCTGGGGATGTGGGATTCTCGCCGGGAGTCTCTAAGGTTGCTGAAACAGGCCGGATGGTGTCACCCGAACGTCTAGATTACTTTCTAGAGCTGTTTCAGAAACATGGGGGGTCAGGAGGGGAGCTTGCATTCATGTCACGGGGGCTGGGCACCTTCTGCACTCTGGTCCGGGCCAGCCAGCAGGGGAATGGGGGAGACCCAGGGCTGCTCGTGGCCGTGAGGTCCAAGAGCCACGTTCACTGCCTGGGAGAGGCTTGGTTTGCAGCAGAAGCAGCTGCTCGGCTAAAGCTGGTGAGGCGATGGTTTTCTGTGGAGTCTCCATGGTGTGGGCTGGAGGATCCTCTGCCGTGCTCACCGGAGCAGGCTGGTGGGCGGGCTGCAGGGCGAGGGGCAGGAGGGGCGGCCACGCGATGGCTGTGGTGCAGGGTGTTGTCCGGCCCTGGCCCCCCTCGACCACTGACTGTCTGTATGTGGCCGACCAGAAGCGGTTGAGCTCAGCATGTTTTTAAAGGGGGGGAGGGTGAGTCGGCCAGGGGCCTCACGGTATGTGGTGACCAGGTGCTAAGTGACCAAATACGTGTCACCTGCCTTTCCACACAGACCATCTTTTCCGTCTGGTGATGCCCACTCCTGAATTTTGTTTTCAAATGACATTTTGAATGGGTATTTTCATGTAAATTTGTGGCATGTGGAAAGTTTCAAATAAAGTGGACTTGATTCAGAAAACCAGGTGGCCTTGCTGTCCTTCCAGAAGGGACACTCCCTGACCTTCCCCCTATGACCCTCTCTAGCCCTGGGGCGGGGGCATGGTTGGGGGGCACTCATCGCCCACGGCTGTTCCGACATTGGGGTTACCTGCTTGCAGATGTGAGACCCAGGAGGGGATCCGGAGGCGGCTGCTAGGTCAGCCTTTGCAGACCAGGGAGGAAGGCTGTGGGCTTCTGGAGCGTGGTCTCACGGGTATGCTGCTGCCACCACTGCCCAGCTCCATCCCTCTACTCTGAGATGCTGTTCCCATGACACACTGACTCCCACCCCCTCCCCAGCCCCCGGCACCACCGTCTCCTCTCTATGCACCTGATGGCCCCGGGAACCCCAAAGGAGTAGACGGGGCTCTGAGAAGGGACTCTGGCTGCAGCGTGGAGAGGGGAGAAGGTCGCAGCTGAACCAGAGGGAGTGGGGCAGGTGGGCAGGTGTCCAGGCAGGAGCGGGGACCTGGAGTCGGGAGGGGCGGGGGCCCCAGGGTGCTGCGAGACAGAGGGACAAGGTCAGGGGCTATCAGGTGGGCCGAAGAGGGCTCAGCTATCCCTCCTGAGCTCCCCCCGGTCCTCCAGAAGAGAGTCGCCTGAGGCGAATGCTGATTACGGGGGCCAGGGGCCTCCATCCTTCCTGACGGTCCAAGCCAGTCACCCAGCTTGGCATGCACCTACCCACAGGACTCCCCACCATGGTCTGCTTCTGCCCAGAACCACTGAGAAGCTGAGGAGACAGAGCCCAAGGGCCAGCAGTGACCTGCCCAGGAGGGACAGGACTGACCCACTGTGCTGCTGATGCTGGACTGGATCGTGGGAGCACAGGAGCGAGAAGTCCTAGTGGCCCGTGCTTCAGACGCCACTGTGACCTGTGGTCAGGGTGACAGGTAAGTGGCGGGGGATGCAGCCAGGGCTGGGAAACCACGGGAAAAGGCCACTGCTGCTGTCCTACAAGCCACCCCCTACGTCACGGTGTGGACGAGCAAGTGGGAGACGCTCCTGGCTTCCAGGGGACAGGTGTTTGGACTAGGCACAGTGTGGTGTCTTGCCTCAGCTCCCTGATATCTAGAGCCTCTTCTGGGGGCTGGAATCTTCTGGAAGTGTCTTCACTCAGGTGACGGTGGTTGGTGCTAGCTCTCCACCAGGACTGCAGCCAGAATGCCTACGTGTGGCCTCTCCCTGTGGTCTGTCCATGTGGCCTAGTTGGGTCTCCTCAGAGCATGGTGACTGTGTTTCAGGAAAACCCCAGGGATACGCCTTAGCCTTGGACGTCCCATAGCGTCACCTCCACACATTGGGTTGACTGAGAAAGTCACAGGTCAGCCATGTTCAAGAGAAGGGGACACAGGCCTGCTCGACCCCTACTCCCAGCCCCCCTGGGGGTCCTTTCGAGGGAGGTCCCACTGTGGAGAGTGCGTGGAATGGGAATTAGCACTGTGGCGTTTTTAGCAAGTGCCTCGCAGTCAGAGAAGAGCCCCTGCACACGGGGAAATGCGAAGGGCCCGGCACTGCGCCGGAAAGGCCGGGCCGCGCACTTGGCGTTGACTTGGAATTGACTGGGAGGCAGTCTGGCCTTTGTCGATAGGCTGAGCCTCTAAGAAAGCCATTCTTTGTGGCAGAGATGACAGCGCAGGGGTCCTGTGTGCGGAGGGTCTGTGTTAGAAGCCCCGACAGCCGGCAGTTGAGGCTGGAGGTGGGGGAGGGAGGGCGAGGATGACAAGCTTGGACTGTCACCAGGCGCCTTGCGTAGGACTTATTTGTCACTGGCTTACCCCTCCTGGCAGTGGAGGAAAGCATCGCAGAACCCTGACCTTGCAGAGCTGAGGGCCTCCTGGGAGCTCCTGGGCCGCACTTGGCCCTGCAGCGGTTGGGTGGTGAGTGAGTGAGCCACTGAGTGTGTCTCCCACTGCAGAGCCCAGGCCAGAGGTCGCTGGTGTCGCCGAAGCTACTTTCCCTCGGACCTTTCCTGTCTGGAGCCGTATGAGGTTGCTGGGAGCGACTGCAGCCCCTTGTACCCAGCTTTGGAGACCCTACCCAGCGCCGCACGGTCCTCAGCGAAGCCCTGAAGACCACCCACCCCAGTGACGAAGGGGATGGGGCCCTGCAGGGGGGTTGCAGCCTGGGAAGCCCCCCGGCCCGTGGATTCCTGCCCTCCCTCCCCCCACAGCCCCACCTGCTCCCGCTTCCACACACCCTCATGAGCACAAGCTCGGATTCACACAGACATACACACACACACACACACACACGAGCACACACTCAGTGGCTTGCACACGGCCCCTCGCACGCAGATAATCCCCACATTGTACACATGCTCACACACGCTCACACACATTCCTGCACACATACCCTTGCATACCTGCGTCATAGCCACAGTGCGCGCCCGCACCCCCAGCGGTCACACTCCATGTGTTCACACCAGCACTCACACCCACCCCCCCGCCATGCTTCACACCCACACGCTTACACATTCCCATTCACGCCCTCACACTACTATTGTGGGCACGTACCCTCGCACTCACACGCTCGCACGAAGGACTGGGTTACTTTGACACCCCAGTCACTGAATACAACCAGTTCAATTCAAGGTAAACTTTTCTAGTATGTTTATCCCAGAAAATCGGACGATTTCAGAGAAGTAGAGCAAAGGGGAAGAGCAGTGGCCCACATTTTCGGCAGGCGCCGCGAGCTTCTGTTGATAATTTTAGTTAATGTCCTTGGAGTCCCCGTTACGTGCTTTTAAAAAATGTCCTTTGGCTGCGCTCATCCCACTTGTGAGTGAAAAGCAGGATCCTGACGATAACAGGATCCTGTGTCCTTCCCGGCTCGTCAGGCTAACAATGTGGTTTGCTGTCACACCAACGCTGGTCCCTCGTCGTTGGACAATTAGGTTGTCTCTAATTAGCCACTCTTCCAGAGAAAGCTGCTCTGATCCCCTTGTGCTGGAGCATTTTTTCTATATTTAGAATTCTTTCCTTAGGAGAGACTCTCGTTAGTGAAGTTTCTGGGTCTACGTATGAATTTTAAGGCTGGGAGCTGCCTTTAGGGGGCTGTGGAAGTGGAGTGGTATTTTGGGGTGTGGGCTGAGCCT